CTGACTGACTCTCTACCCCACCAGGACATCACTCAAGCGATAAACACCCGATGACACAAAGTGCCACCATGTGGATGAGGATCACCGTGGAGAGGTCCCAGAAACCGCATTCAGACAATTTGCCATATTTATGGCCTGCCTATATTGCGGTCTCTGGAAAAAGACAGGGTGTGGCTTCAAAGAACAAAAAATTTCGTCCTAAAAAGTACGTAAGGATTAAATATGCAATCCTAACATTATTTGGGGCTTTCTTAATATCATACCCAGAAAAAGCGAAATCTACAGGTTACGGGACAGTCTAATATTTCAGGGGGTGGTAGATAGGCTGCATGCTTTCGTGGGACCTAGGCTGCACTCTCTTGTGGGATGTAGGTGAGTTAGGGTTAGGGCCAGTTCTAGATGTTTTGGGGTCGTTGAAGCATCAGAAAGCCGGGAAACCCAGTCTTACTACCCTCTAAAATGTTTACTGTCCTGTGACGTCATCTGGGGGTAGGATATTAATTTAAAAAAAATTTTCAGGTTGCACGTAACTTAGGCACTACTCCAGATGAAACACACGACAGACGTATTTAATTATAAAATAATGAATGTATAAATAAATAAAAGTATTGACATTAATGCTTTAAATAAATGCTAACATAAATATAGATTAAAAAAAATAAAAACATGCAAGCATCTCCTGAAACGAAGTTTTTAGTTCTTTACGCCGTGTGCTGAAGATGAGGACAGTGTTTATGGGCGTGACCCGAGGGCTGTGGTTCTTAACTGTTAACTAACTATTATTTGCAAAGAAACACAGTAATTGCAGTGTTTATGGCGAGGTGGTTACCTATTTTCCTCTTACTCTGAAGATATATGTTCGCTTTCAGACTCCATGGCTCAGTTAGCCGGTGCATTGTTTTCAAAAACCCCTGTGGGTTTCATTGAAGCATCGTCATCTGGTCCTTTGTGCATCGCTATCAGCGGTCGACAAGTCGTTTAGCGGGGAAACCCACAGTAATATGGAATAGGATCCATTGCAACGGAGTCAAACTTCTCGTCTTTCAAACAGTTTGTTTGCTTAGGAATGTACGCTGTGGTTTTCTGTTGTGTGAGAATGCAAACAGAAATCATCCAACAGAAAGACACCCGTCTATCACACAGAGTTGCTCTTTCTACTGAACACATGTGTCATTGTCTGCTTGTGACGCCACTAAGGTGTGACAACAGAGTCATCCAAACGTCAGCTGGATATTTGCTGCATGGGTAACCTTTCACAACGACAGCCCAGGTGAGAACGCCATCTACAGACCCCCGCAATCCAGGCTTTCTCTAACGATGACTGGTGTAGGTCTTTTTGTAGATCGGCCTTCTCGCGTGTCTCCCAGCCATTCTCAGGCATCTCTCAGACACTCTCACGTTTCTTCCAGCCGCTCCCATGTTTCTGCCAGGCATTCTCTCATGTTTCTGCCAGGCATTCTCACATGTCTCCCAGCATTTGTCACATTTCTCCCAGCTATTACCATATGCCTCACAGTCATTCTCATACGTCTTTCAGTCATTTTAAAATGTCACCCAGTCATTGTCGCATTTCTCCCAGTCATTCTCATATATTCTTTTAGCCATTCTCACATGTCAATCCATTCTCACAGGTCTCTCACCTATTACCACATCTCTCGTAGATCACACATCTCCTTGCACGGCTCTCTAGCGAAGTTGGTTAAACCTGACTTTCGCGGCGGCCGGGTGACGAACTCCTTGTGGTCCGGGTTCACTCCCGGGGGTAGGCAGAAAAGCCACATTTCTCCCAGATTAACGGTACCTATAATGGAATCAAGGCCGAAGGGTTGCGATATAAATAGTACTGAGCCAAAGGGTTTACAACTCATGGTTTCTGAATACGTTTAAAAAAAAAAAAATCACACGTCTCGCAAGCAATTTTCACAGGTCTGCCAGCCATATTCAAATGTCTTTCAGTCATTCTGACATATCTCCCAATCATTCTTACGGAAAGACAATGTGCAGGTGCACATAGACACACACGTTGTGTACATGTAGTTTGAGAACCGTGGGCTATTCGTCTTGGATTTAAGCCTGGTGTCCTGTGCGACCGCAGCTGTGTCCTACAGCAATATTCTTCAATATTGGTGAATCCGCGACCGGTATGGACGACGGTTGAGAGAAACAAACATACATGTATGTGAATAGTCTGTTTGTGCCGTTTTCAGAATGAAGGTTATTTGCAGTGCGCATACCCTGCTGCTTTTCGGAATATCAGTTTATAAGGTTCCAGTCTCTTCCATGGTGCGACTCTCGTTCCACTATTTGAAAACCAGAAGAAATTTTTGTTTTTCTAAATAATCGGCCGAAGTATGGGGAACCCTGGCATGTCAAATTAGATTATCAAACGACTTCACTAAACTCTAAGCCACATCATTTTTATCATCATCATGATCTCATAACACTGCGTGTCGTTGGGTCACCAGTTTCTGTTGACTGGTCAGCTCTCTCTACCTTTGGCGGTCAGTCGCGATGGACTTCATGTTTGCATGACTGAGGCCTGTCCAGTCAGTCAGGTTCTGTAACTAGGTCTTTCTTGGTCTGCCTCTTCACCTCTGTCCCTCTACTGAGCCCTGCAGTATTGTTTTTGAGAGGCCGTTAGATCTTATTACATGTCCATACCATTGTATTTTTGGCCTTATCACAGTAGTTAAAAGATATTTATAATTGTCAATGCTAAGTCACACAACCGCACTAAATTATATAGCGTTTTACGTATTATATCTTGTATACAATCACAACTTTTAACCATTGTGAGGTTGAGAAATCTGATAAACATGGCTGGAGCGTTATTTACGAGAAATGAAGCACTGTAATAATATTCACACTATTTCTTCCTTTGTTGTTTCAAAACGGACATAGCCTTACATCCGTCGCCACATTGTTGCGTGCAGCGTCTCTTTCGCTTAGAATCGGTCTAACCCCTGAATGATGTAGCCGCTACATGATTGAACGGACATTTTTGCCGGACCGTTTAGAAAATTCCACGGACTAGCGTGGGTCAGTAGACCACAAGCTGAAAAACATTGTTCTAAAGGACATACAGTGCAGAGTTCCAGCGGGTGACGGAAACCAGATTGCGAGGGAAGGACGGGTAGTTCTGCTACTGCGTCTCACTAGAAGCCCTGAATACCGAAGCAATGAATTTACAATAGAACTTTTCAAACGGTGATTTATAACCCGCTGAGCCGGGTGTTCCAGTTTCATTAGCGGGGTCTCGATTTCTGCTTGTGTCTAGGGGTTTGCTGACACACTAGCCAGCGATAAGACGGTTGTGTGTGCGTGCTCTATACCAGATACATGTGTTATTTACACATGCTATACCAGATACACGTGTTGTTTATACATGCTATAGCAGATACACGTGTTATTTATATATGCTATACCAGATACACGTGTTATTTATACATGCTTGTAAGTAAGTGTTTTGATGGCTGTATATTTTCACATGTCTAGAAGTATTATCACAGCCTCTACGTTAGCTAGTTAGTCGACAGATCATCCTTATTGCATATCTGACCATTCAGTCCATAGGTGCTCGGATCCCCTCCTAAGTAGATCACCGCAGCATGTAGCGGCTGATGACACCAGTCCTGTGTTGGTTTCTTATTCTTCTTTGGCTACCTGCGTATTATCACGGCCTATATGAGTTATCAGGCTATATATTATTATTATTAATCCAGAAATATTATAACTTATCTATATTATCATAATCTGGATTATCACTAATCTGTATTATCATAGGTCTGTATGTATTATAGCAGGTCTCTATTGTCACATTTCTATATTATCACTGTCGGCGTCTGTGGCCTCGGCATTGCGAACGTACTTCGTAACGCCGTCGTGCCGGATTCGATCCAACCTGTAAGCCATTTGACAGCTAACCACCTCGCGTTGCTTTTGACAGTTATATCCAGAGCTGACAGCCCAGGGCAATGACAGACCACTGGACATGAAATTGCCTGGTAAAATCACTAACAGGAAAAGAGCACTGTGGTCCAGGGCTGCCCAATAGGATATTATTTTGAAAAACCCAATAAAGCTGAACAAAAACACAAACAATACATAAGCAAAGATCAAAACACAAAATATAGAATGTCTTGATGTTGTCATTCCGGGTTCTTGTGTGCTCTGCTTCTCTTCGACCAGCCTTGAAAGACAGTCTTTGCAAAGGAATCATGTCTCACCACGTGCCCAAACCTTAAGCTAGCCTGCGACATTTCACCACTGCCAAGAGAGGCTCCTGATGTCCTGCAAATTTGTATATTTTGCTTCTGACATATTTATTACTTTTGTGTTTTAAATAAATAATTCGTTTAAGAAAAAAAGGAGGTATCGATGTCATAGCACAGCGGACATGGCCATAAGTGCTCCGTCTCCCGCAGAAAATGTTTTAGAGTGTAGATCAGTGGTTCCCAAACGTCTTAATGCCGCGGCCCTTTAATACGGTTCCTCATGTGGTGGTGAACCCCAAGCAAAAAATGATTTTCGTTGGTACTTCATAACTTCAGTGAATAAATATTTTCTGGTGGACTTAGGTGACCACTGTGAAAGGGTCGTTCGACCCCCCAAAGGGATTGCGACCCACAGGTTGAGATCCTCTGGTGTAAATGCGAACTACTCCCGTAGCCCACTCACTGATTATACCAGTGATTCCCAAACTGTGCGCCGCGGCGCCCCGGGGAGCCGCGGCCTCTTCACAGTGGCGCCGCAAAATATTGTAAAAACTTCAGAATTAATTTAACCAAGACACGAATAGTCATACTTTTACTTAGGTTAGGGCGCCTTGGAAAAAAATTTAATAAAAAAAAAAAAAGCGCCGCGAACATGACAATGTTTGGGAAACACCGGATTATACACATCACGCAACTGGCGTCAAGCCACGGATCTAACGCGACCAGTATTTTGGTGTTAGCCTCGTCAACTCTTGCTGTCTGCTTGCAGGTCTTTCCTCATGGAAGATGCCTTTTGTAAAGAAATGCCCGTTCCTGCGACACAAGATTGAGGAGGATGTTAGAGTGCTGGATTACCGACACTCCGGTCTCCTGGACCTGCCCACTGAGGTGTTCGACAAGGAGCGGACCCTGGAGGAGCTCTTTGCCGACTGTAACCAGATCAGGGATTTACCCAGGGTCAGTGAGTTATAGCTGTCATGTCAGTGTTTTGTCTGGGGGTTTAGCTGTTATGTTTGTGTTTTGTCTGGGGTTATAGCTGTCATGTTTGTATTTTGTCTGGGGTTATAACTGTTATGTCAGTGCTTTATCTGGGGTTATAGCTGTTATGTCAGTGTTTTGTCTAGAGTTATAGCCGTCATGTCAGTGAGTTGTCTAGAGTTTTAACTGGCATGTCGGTGTTTTTTTCTAGAGTTATAGCTGCCATGTCAGTGTTTTGTCTGGAGTTATAGCTGTCATGTCAGTAGCTTGTCTGGAGTTTTAACAGTCATATCAGTGTCTTGTCTAGAGTTATAGCTGTCATGTCAATTGCTTGTCTAGAGTTATAGCTGTCTTGTCAATGAGTTATAACTGTCACTTAAGTGGCTTGTTGAAAGTTAGTGGGTTGTAACTGTCATACCAATGACAGCGGTGACATTCTTCGATCTTTGAATAATCATTTCCCAACCCTGAAAAATAAAATAGAATATACAGTAGTCGACACACGTGTGAAGATTGTTTGGAAATCAATTCACATGTGTAGCGACGCTCGGTGATTCTTTTGATAACCTATCCCGCGTGCAGTGTAACGTTAGGTTTCAAGAAAGGCTAGTACTGGAGGTGATTACCTGAGAGTGACACGATTATAAAACTGTTCAGTTTGTTGTTTCGAAAAGTTGAAAAGTTTTTAGATAACTGTTAGCATGATGATTGTTTACTTTGAATCCGTGTCTGTTTTTTTTTTAATATACTGCAATTTGGGCAAAATGAAAACTAGATGTTTGTTTACCTAAAAAAATATTCTTACAAGGACATAAATAATAACAGGTTGCATGCTAAATTTCGAAAATTTATATCGAACGATTACTGAGTTACAGATATTTAAAGTTGGTCGCAACTTCTGGAACAGACTATACCTGTGGACAGTTCAGCGACAAACTGTGCGTTTCCCACAACCTTGAGGCATTTGTGTTCCTAAACTGAATTGGTAGCGTGAAATCGATTAAATGAAGTGCCCGTCATGCGGACCTGCATTGACAGTTGTGATCTGATGTGACGCGACAGCGTGAGAAATCCTGTCTGCGAGTTGTGATGCGATCTGTTTGCGGACAACCCTCTAGTAATTCTTCAGTATCAAGGAGTCTGTCGTGCAGGTGGATCTACTCAGAGTATGGGGGTCGGAGGATTCTGGGAGTGGGGGGTCATGGTTTTTCCCCCTGCTAGATGTCTGCTTTTGTCCTTTCAGTTTTTCCCCAAACCTCTTGACATACTGCCTTCTTATTAATAACAGTATTGCCTGAAAATGGCTAATGAAAGTAGAAATTATATATAACAGTGAAAAGGAGACAAAGTTCTTTGGTCATGTGATGAGAAAAGGAGCATTGGAAAATATCGTGCCGACTGGACAAATCACAGGTAGACAAGGCAGAGGCAGACCAGGAGAAATGATGCTGGATGACTTGAGACAGTGGCGTGGAGGGATATCGTCAGTGGAATTGATCCAGAACACCAAAGACCGAGATCTGTGGAAATGCATGAACGCCTACGCCAGCAGGCCAGGCACTTGACGATGGATGATGATAGTTTAAAGCTGTTACATAACTTTAGGGACGCCTCCGTGGTGTAGCGGCTAGACGCTCACCTGTTGATTCAAAGGTTCGGTCCTGACGGAACCGGACATTTTCCGGAAAAAAAGGACTTTGGCTCCCAGGTGGAGCCAGCTTTAAATAGGTAGCATCTACAGTTCTGGGACGTAAAGGCAGCAGGTATGACGTTAACTACAACATCTAGCGAGTACCTAGTCTATAAAAGATACGCCTTGCCTTATATGCCCAACCCGTCTGAGAGCGGGAAAAAGATCCTTAACTTTTTTTTGTACTTGTTGCTTACGTACCTTCAAATAAAACAGGTTCTCAGAACTGCCTTCTTTTCTTTTTCCTTGTTTCATAAAAGTACAAAGTAAAGATCCCTTTTCCCGCCTTCAGGCGCATCGGGCATATGGGAAGAGCACCCATATTTTTAGAGACTAATTGGCACTAGAGTGGGTAATGTGGTCAACATAATGCCTGCCGTCTTTACTTCCCCAGGACATACATCCCGGTACCCATTTTAATCTGGGTCGACCTGCGACGCCCCATACCACGATAAGAATCCACGCAGCCAGCAGTGGGTTTAGATCGCGGTACGTTGGAATTACGAGTCGCACTCGCAACGCCTAAGCCACGGACGCCTGCTTTCTTGTTTTATGCTTCTGCGTTGTTCCTGTCTGCTCACTGCTTCATCTTTTGGAGCTGTCCTTATTTCTCTGTTGAATTATTTTGCCTCTTACTTGTCTTTTTCTATCGACTTGGAATGTCTAATTCCTCCTGCAGATTATTGGTAGTCTCTGTAGTAACAGTGGCTGTAAATTTGACTGTTAGCCGGGAGGTCTAAAGTTCAAATCTGCATTGAGACGGGTTTGTTATAATTGACCTTGACTCTCAGGTCAACGAAATCTAAGTAACAGGAGGTGATCTTTGGTAGGAAGGTAAGTTTTACCGCACCAGGACATCAAACAAGCGATAAACACCCGGTGACACAAAATGCCACCTCGCGGATCAGGATCACCCGTGGAGAGGTCGCGAAATCCCGTTTAGCCGTTAGGCTGCACGGCTCGCTAGCGTAGTTGGCTAAACCGGATTGCGCGGTGAGCGGGTGACGAACTCCTTGTGGTCCGGATTCACTCCCGGGGGTAGGCATGTCTCCCAGATTTACGGTATTTACAATGGAATCAAGGCCGAAAGGTTGCGATATCCATAATACCGAGCCTAAGGGTTCACAACTCATGGCTTCTGGATACTAAAACAAAACAAAACAAACAAGCCCTTAGGCCATATTTCAGGTTCGGCTATATTTAGGGCCCCCGGCAAAAGCCAGGCTGGGGCTTCAAAATAACTGAAAATTGCATCCCTCATGGGGCGACGATTCAATGGTGACCTATGAAGTTCAGACGACCGGTATAGTTACTGAGTGCTGATTGGAAATATGAGACGTGCTCTCTCTCTTTCACTAGCTTTCACTTACACTATGAGACACTCACTCTTTCATTCTCTCTCTCATATTTATGCTTTCACTCACTTTCTTACTCTCACCATTCCAGTCTCTTCCAAACTCATACACACTCATTCACCAATACTCTGTCTTTTCCCCACTCACACATTATCTCTTATGCCCCACACATACTCACTCACACAGGAACTCTTCTACTGCCAAAGACTGCACAAGTTATCCATCAGCGACTATGAGATCACAATTCTTGCCCGTGTCATGTCTTTCACACACTGTCTATCTAATTCACTCTCTGTCTCACACACTCTCTCTCTTACTCTCACATACAAGAGCTGTTCTACTGCTAAGGACTGTGCAAGTTGTCCACTAGCTAATATGAGATCACAATTCTTGTCCTTGTCATGTCTCTCACACACTCTCTGTCTCACACACTCTCTCTCTCACTCTGTCATACAGGAACTGTTCTACTGCCAAGGACTACGCAAGTTGTCCATCAGCGACAATGAGATCACCAGCCTGCCCCCAGCCATCTCCAGCCTGACCAACCTAGAGGAGCTGGACTTCAGCAAAAATGGTGAGTCTGTCCTCACAAGGCCATACAATCTGATCAGCTTTGATTAACCATTTCTTGATTCAGATTGGAACCCAAGATCTTTGGGCCACTAGAGGGATTTTATAATTTATCACCCCTAGTAGAGGTTTGATATGGTATAGACCAGCAGTTCTCAAGCTATGGGTCACGACCCTTTTAGGGGTCAAACAATCTTTCACAAGGGTCGCCAAAGACCATTGGAAAACGCATGTTCACTGAAGTTATGAAGTAGTAACAAAAATAATTGTATGGTTGGAGGTCATCACAACATCAGGAACTGTATCAAAGGGTCGCCGCATTAGGAAGGTTGAGAACCTCTGGTGTAGCTGATTTAATAATATAATTTAAGTAATAGAGCCTTGTCCATGCCATTACACATATTGGGCGTTTATTCCTGCTATTATTATCTATTATCACTATTTTATGACTGTTTTATGAGCCTCTCTTTATTTTATTTTATTCAATCTGCATAATATTTTTATAGTTTCTGACATGATCCCCTATTGGGTGCTGGTGTTTGGAGTACTCTCCCCTTTGTTATTGTCGTTGAGAGTTCATGGTGAAAAAGGCCCTGGCCGAAATATAGATTTGTGTGTTTTTTGCACTTGTTTTTCTTTCCCATTTCATTAAACTTTTTAGTCACAGTTCACTGGATTAATTTCTTATTATTAGCTGTATTTAGCTGTTTTCATCACTTTTGCACATATAGGGCTAGATCTATATTTTACAGGCCAGTTGGCACTCAGTAGGTGATGTGATCAACAATCAACACCAAAACTGCCACCTTTAATTCCCCTGGATTATATCTATTACCTATTTTAGGCTGGGGTAACCTTGGAGCCATGGTTACTTTTGAAAAGATACGGCTCAATGCGTATTTGAACCTACAACTTTCGAGTTCGAGGTGAGGATCTAGCAATTACACCACAGTGGCTCCGATAATATAATAAGACAGAAAAAAAAAAAAAAACAACACCCTGACTGGGAGGGTGTTGGAGAAGAAAACTAATATTAGACTGAACAATTGATTAATTTTTGACTCCTGGGTAAATTTCACAAAGCCATTATTGATTCAGTGAATGATCTCAACCTGCAGTAAATGAAATCGGAAATGGGTTTTCACGGGCCAGAAAATCAATTCTGGTAATCAATATACTCAGTCATTGCATCCAAGACCAACAGGTTCAACTAGACCAACTGGCTAGCAGACATATAATTAGCAGCATGGTGTATCAAAACAGAAATAACAGCAACAGACATAGCAACGGAAATAGAAACATAAACAGTAACAGAAACAGCAACACCATCAGAGACAGAAACAGCAATAGATACAGCAACAGAAACAGCAATGGATACAACAGCAGAGACAGCATCAGAAACAGCAATAAATAAAGCAACAGAAACAGAAACAGCAATGGATACAGCAACAGAAACAGCACCAGAAATGGCAACAGAGAAAGCAACAGAAACAGAGACAACAAAACAGCAACATAAATAGAAACAGAAACAACAGCAACAACAGAAACAACAACAGAAACAGAAACAACAGCAACAGAAACATCAGAAACAGTAACAGCAAGAGCAACAGAAACAGCAACAACATTAACAGCCACAGAAACAGCAACAACATTAACAGCGACAGAAACAGTGACAGCAACAGCAACAACAGAAACAGCAACAACAGAAACAGTAACAACATAAACAGTAACAACAGAAACAGCAACAACAGCAACAGCAACAACAGGAACAGAAACATCAACAACAGAAACAGCAGCAACAGAAAAGATACAGAGGTTCTAGCGGGACTGGGAATGAAAACTGTTTAAAAGAAATAAGAAAAGGAACGAGTGAATAATCTAGACTAAATTAAAAGACATGACACTCTTATAAAAAATCTAACTGGAGAGAAAATATTAGGGCAAGAGCATAGACAAGTGGGAGGATAACATCAAGAGAGAGATAAACAATAGCAGCTTTGCATAATTTGATGGAACTTGATCTCTCTCCCTTGTTGTATAATTTATTTTTCAACCTGCTATTCTTTGTGGCAACCATTATAATGTAACCATTATAATGTTGCTATCTGCAGGGATCATTGAAGTGCCTGACAGCATCAAGTCATGTAAATACCTGAGGTCTGTGGATGCCAGTGTCAACCCACTGGGCAAGTAAGTGTTTTCTCATCAGCCACATCATGCTGGACAAGGCTGTTGGGGGCACAACACTGCCTCCAACATTCAGCAACAACACTAATGTACACAACATTACCTTAAAAAAGTCAGTAACAACACAACAGTGTACACAACACTGCCTCCAACATTCAGCAACAACACTAATGTACACAACATTACCTTAAAAAAGTCAGTAACAACACAACAGTGTACACAACACTGCCTCCAACATTCAGCAACAACACTAATGTACACAACATTACCTTAAAAAAGTCAGTAACAACACAACAGTGTACACAACACTGCCTCCAACATTCAGCAACAACACAACAGTGTACACAACACTGTATCCAACATTCAGCAACAACACAACAGTGTACACAACACTGCCTCCAACATTCAGCAACAACACTAATGTACACAACGTTACCTTAAAAAAGTCAGTAACAACACAACAGTGTACACAACACTGCCTCCAACATTCAGCAACAACACAACAGTGTACACAACACTGCCTCCAACATTCAGCAACAACACAACAGTGTACACAACACTGCCTCCAACATTCAGCAACAACACTAATGTACACAACATTACCTTAAAAAAGTCAGTAACAACACAACAGTGTACACAACACTGCCTCCAACATTCAGCAACAACACTAATGTACACAACATTACCTTAAAAAAAGTCAGTAACAACACAACAGTGTACACAACACTGCCTCCAACATTCAGCAACAACACTAATGTACACAACATTACCTTAAAAAAGTCAGTAACAACACAACAGTGTACACAACACTGCCTCCAACATTCAGCAACAACACAACAGTGTACACAACACTGCCTCCAACATTCAGCAACAACACTAATGTACACAACATTACCTTAAAAAAGTCAGTAACAACACAACAGTGTACACAACACTGCCTCCAACATTCAGCAACAACACTAATGTACACAACATTATCTTAAAAAAGTCAGTAACAACACAACAGTGTACACAACACTGCCTCCAACATTCAGCAACAACACTAATGTACACAACATTACCTTAAAAAAATCAGCAACAACACAACAGTGTACACAACACTGCCTCCAACATTCAGCAACAACACTAATGTACACAACATTACCTTAAAAAAGTCAGTAACAACACAACAGTGTACACAACACTGCCTCCAACATTCAGCAACAACACTAATGTACACAACATTACCTTAAAAAAGTCAGTAACAACACAACAGTGTACACAACACTGCCTCCAACATTCAGCAACAACACTAATGTACACAACATTACCTTAAAAAAATCAGCAACAACACAACAGTGTACACAACACTGCCTCCAACATTCAGCAACAACACTAATGTACACAACATTACCTTAAAAAAGTCAGTAACAACACAACAGTGTACACAACACTGCCTCAAACATTCAGCAACAACACCAATATACACAACATTGCCTTAAGGAATCAGCAACAACATAGCAATGTACACAACATTGTCTTAAACAATCAGAAACAGCACAATAGTACACACAACATTGTCTTAAACAGTCAGCAACAGCACAGTAGTACACACAGCATTGCCTTAAACGATCAGCAACAACACCACAATGTACACAGCATTGCCTTAAACAGTCAGCAAAACACAACAGTGTACACAACATTGCCTTAAACAGTCAGCAACAACACAACAGTGTACACAACATTGCCTTAAACAATCAGCAACAACACAACAGTGTACACAACATTACCTTAAACAGTCTGTAACAACACACCAGTGACAACAACATTGCTCTAAACACTCCATCTATAGCTGGATGATGCTCCTTGTAAGAGACCAATCAGGCAACACAAACCGTTTACACTTTTCTTTCTGTCCTAAACAATGCCCTGTGCATGATTGGGTATTATTCATTGGTACCTATCAACATATTATGCATGTTTTAAATCTTGTGTTTAGCGAGAGATATTTGTTTCCTGTATGTTTGGATTGTTTCCTGTATGTTTGGATTGTTTCCTGTATGTTTGGACTGTTTCCTGTATGTTTGGACTGTTTCCTGTATGTTTGGACTGTTTCCTGTATGTTTGGATTGTTTCCTGTATGTTTGGACTGTTTCCTGTATGTTTGGATTGTTTCCTGTATGTTTGGACTGTTTCCTGTATGTTTGGACTGTTTCCTGTATGTTTGGACTGTTTCCTGTATGTTTGGACTGTTTCCTGTATGTTTGGACTGTTTCCTGTATGTTTGGACTGTTTCCTGTATGTTTGGACTGTTTCCTGTATGTTTGGACTGTTTCCTGTATGTTTGAACCTTCTAGAACAGAACTAACTCCCAGTCCTGAGGAAAGAAAATAGGGGCTTTTGAGCTGTAATGATATAGAAAGATTCTCAGAATATCATGGACAAAGAGGAGAAGAAACAGTGACATTTTAAAAGATCTGAGCATCAAGGAAGATTGGCTAATAAACAGCATCTTGTCTCAGAAGCTGAAATACTTTGGTCATATCAAGCCCCACGACGGATTGGGAAAAATAATAACAGAAGGCATGGTACCAAAAAGGAGGGGCAGGGGCCAACCAAAATGAAGATGGGCGCAGGATATAAGTGACTCCTTGAATATAAGGTGGGAGAGCTAGCGAGAGACCGAGTTTCTTTCAGGCAGATGGTAATAAAATGTTCTACAAAGGACCAGCTAAATGATGATGATAATTAGAACAGTGGCCCACAACCTGAGAAGTGTTCCTTCCCAGGAAACTAAGAGGGAGTTCCAAGGCGGGGCGTCAGGCAGTTCTGTAAATGAGTGCATTTGTACTTGTAATAATCCGTAATACTGTCATTTTTTTAATGTCCAGTTTAATTATAAGTAACATTTGAACTATTTATCAAACTAAAAGCCAAGGGCGTTTTTATGTTCATGCCTGTTTGCACATCTACCATTAAAAATCTTATTATTATAATAACAAATGCATTTAATTAAAGATTAGGAACAAATTTCTCCTCTTTCTGATCACATTTTGTTATTTTGGGGTTTTGGGGGTGGGGTCTTGTTGTATACTCGGGGTGGGGGGAGAGCCCCAGCTGAAAACCTGAAAAGTTGGAGACTTCTGCTTTAGAAGTAGTATTCCAGTGCATTTAGTATTGCCAGTTGTAATTCCCTCAGACATTAGCTAGGACTTTGTGGGACAGAAAAATGTAACTGATGCTTTTGTCTTCATTGGCTGTCAAGACACACTGCTTGTGAGAGAATGTGTACCCTTTAACCTTCATTTTTGTGGGCAGGACATAGCAGCTCAGATCTGCATGGGGCCTGTTGGGAGAACAGGAATGGATATTTATGCTGTCATCTGATCTCTATGAAAAGGTGGATACTTTACCAGGGGGCCTGGGGTTGACTCCAGCCAGTCTCCAGACAGTTCACATTCCTGGTGATATTTCTGCTGAGAGGCAGGGACGGTGTTGCTAGGATACACTAAACATTATCTGTTCTTCTTAGCCCTGGTTGTGTACAGCAGTGTTCTTCAACTTTCTCCAATTGCAACCCACCGAAACAGTCAAAATTGTTTGCCGGCCCCCCTGTTAGCTAAAGAAACTTGAAACCAAACCAAATGTAGATAGCTGTTTACTTGTTAAATTTGATGTCACAAAATTACAGTCGCCAGCTAGTGTGACATCTGCTGCTACTTAGAGGTTAAAAAAAATCTGGTATATGTGGCTGGAATGTTGTTCCTTAAATATGATGTGGTACAATAACACCCTTCTCTTTCTTCATTCAATTTTTCGGCTCTCCTGTCAACTCAGGCCGTTAGCTGGAAAGCCGCCGATCGCTTAGTGGGAGTTCTCTCCCTTGTCCGCATTGCAAACACGGAGCGGAAAAGTCACGAATAAAAAAAGACAGTGAGGTCGACAACAGGGCTGCCAATGCTAGGGTGTGTCCCCCAGATCTGGGTGTTTATTTGACGCTTCGGGGAAATCTGTTTTTTTTTAAAAAGTAAATATATCTGTGTATATATAAACGTGGTATTAGTTGCCACGGATGTGACTCCTGTAGATCTGTTTGACTCACTGACCGATAAATTTGCGTGGTTAGGGCTAGGGTTAGGGTTAGGATTAGGGGTAGGGTTAGGGTTAGGGTTAGATGTGACACTTTTAACGCAGGAGTTCCGAATAATCGCGCACAGTCACATACACACCCAAACAATCAAAGGACTGTGGATGCTACTCAAACGGACAATTCGCCACCGATTGGGCACCAGCCTCGCGCTATTGCCGTCATATTTGGGAGAATTCCAGTGGCGACACTCCCACAAGCATCAGATTGTCGGCCAGTATATGGAACTCTTACGTCAAAATTGTCACATCTAACCCTACCCCTAACCCTACCCTTAATTCTAATCCTAACCCTAACCCTAACCCTATCCCTAACCCTATCCCTAACCCTAACCCTAAACCTAACCCAAACCCTAACCCTATCCCTAACCCAACCCCTAACGCTGCTAACCCTATCCCTAACCCTAACCCACACCCTACACCCTACGCAACCGTATGATGACTACGCAACCGTACACGCAACCGTATGTTGATAGGTAAGTATATCATTTAATTCGTGACTTTTCCGCTCCGTGTTTGCAATGCAGTCAAGGGAGAGAACTCCCACTAAGCGATCGGCGGCTTTCCAGCTAACGGCCTGAGTTGACAGGAGAGCCAATTTTTCCTATTGATATGCCAGTCAGTCTTTTTCATACAAATAGGAAGTTCTTGAGAGGTTAGTCCTATAGATTGGACGAGAAAAACCAACTACTCTGCCTCATTACATGATCAAGCAGAATCTGTTGGTGGCCTACATGGAGCCACAGCCTACGGGTTGAAGAACACTGATGTACACAAAGTTTGTGACAGCTTTTGGAAGCTGAGTGTTATATTAGAAGGTTAATGCCAAGAGGATCCACTTTATTGCACTGGGTTTGATCCCCATATGGCTTTGTTTCTTTCCGCAAAACAGCTAGCAGCTACTGAGATCATTGCATAAAGCACGAGAGCTGTAGCCTCGGTGATAATCCCCAAGGGTCTGTAAAAATTGTACTCGTGAAACGAAACAAACTCACAACCTTCAGAGAGCGAGGAAAACAGTTTGACCATGGGTGTTGTGGACACAAGTGGAAGGCAAACAGATAAATATTTGGGTGGCATAGCCACATGGGTGGATGGAGGGAGAGGAACACAACTGGCCTAAACTGAAAATGGTAGAAGAAGGATAAGAAAATCATGGGCAGATAAAAGATGTACTGAAGATATCTTGAAAGAATTTACTCACAGATATTTAAAAAAAAAAATATTTAGAAACCATAAGTTTTTAACCCTTTGGCTCGGTACTATGGATATCATAACCCTTCGGCCTTGATTCCATGATAGATACCGTAAATCTGGAAGAAATGTGGCTTTTCTGCCTACCCCCGGGAGTGAACTCGGACTACAAGGAGTTCGTCACTCGGTCACCGCCATGTCAGGTTTAACCAACTACGTTAGAGAGCCAGGCACTCACAGATATAACTACTCACATCAGAAAGAGGCTGTCCACAGTTTTAGCAGGTCATGAGGAAGGGAAAACTACAGTACATTGTGACAACTGGAAAGTTGTGGGAAAAGAGAGACAGAAGGATATCAAAAGAGAGGTTGTTGGAAAGTTTAGCATCCTGGCATGGAAAAACATTTGATGAAATGCATGATACTTGTTACTTACGTTACTTGGTATTGGTATCAACATACTAGCACATCGGTCTGACCCATGCATGCTCTTTTCCAGCAGCTATTTCAGTGTCCTTATTCTCACCATACCCTGTAGAAGTTGACTGGCATATCTTCTTTCGGTCCTGTTCATGTTTCCAGGCCCAGGATTAGAGTAACTTCCCTTGCCATTCATTCCTTCTTAGGTCACTGGACCTCTTCTTTGTTGCGGAGGTGTTATGATATAACTTGGTTTGGTATTCACTTGGCGTATATAAAGTTTGTGGGAAGTTGTCTTGTTATGGGTTTATTTCAGGCGCCATGGGCGCCTGTGTACAAGTAAGAAGTACTGTAGGGGGAAGCGCCGCAGGCGCGATGATTCTTTGGTATCAAAACTGGGATGTTTTTTGTATTTCTATGTTCATTGGTGGTGGCTTTCCCCGAAGATAAAAGAAAGTAGTTACAAGGAGTGTAGGAATAGAAAAATATCGCTGTTTCCATACTCCCGAACCATTGCGCAGGTAACATAAGGTGAAAATAATCATGCAAGTGTATTCAGTGGTGTGAGAAGATGAGAATAAAGGCAATGGTTAAAGCGTTGACAATAAGGAAAACATGACTTCCCTGCATCATAGGAGAGGTCCAGTGACCTAAGGAGACATAAATGACAAGGGAAATTAATCCTGTGCCTGGAAATGTGAACAGCACCCTTCTTTCTTTGCCATAGAGCTGATTTTTTTCATGTTTATTCTTGTTTAATACTTATTTCCAACAAGTGATTCATTGTCTATGACTCCCTTACCTCAACGTCTCTGGAACACAGCACAGGCAGTATTTCTGCCTTGTCCAAACGTCTTCCTCTACTAACTACTGCAGACACAGTCAGTTTGTTAGCTTTTTCATTTCCTTTCACCCCAGCATATCCTGATAAGTACATCCAAAATAGTTTCTTGAGGTGGGACTTATAGATGCTGTCAACCATTTTCTTTAGAATTTGCCAGTTTGGATCTTCAGTGTGTCACTGTCAGTGCATGAGCTGCTTTCTTTTCCGCCCCTGTGACAGTACTGTCTCCATTTTTATAGTAGAAGTAGTTGAACTGAAAGCTTGACCTTTTTTTTACTTTACTTACTCTTCCATTAACCTGCACTGTGCATGCCTACCCAGACAACACCCACAAATCACTTAGCAGTCTGTATAGATGATGGCACCAACTGGTCAGGTGTCCGTGTGAATGAGGACCCTTATTTCAGCATCAGCAGCTGTTTGGCACCATTCTCTGCAAAACCTGCCCAGGGTGACATTACACCAGATAGAAGCATGTGGACCACTGTCACATGCCAAGGACTATAAGTAAAAAGGAAGAGTTCTCTACTGACAGTTATGTAATAAACAAAAGTTTTTTTCCTTTATATTGACACTTGAAACAGAATAAGCACCGAGATGATGAGACTAAAGAGTTACAGTTGCCTGTATGCTCTTTTTCTTTCAGGTTACCAGAAGGTTTCACACACCTGGCCAACCTGACACATCTGTATCTCAATGATACCTTTCTGGACTTTCTGCCAGGTAGCTTTGGAAGGTAGGCCAGGAGATATGAGTTACACAGACAGATACTAAACACACAGTTAGAAGATACATAACACACACACACACACATAGAAGAGACGTAACAAAAAGAAATGATACGGAGAGAAGATACAAAACACACAGATTTTAGATACATAACATACAGTTTGTGTTGCCAGTTCTGATAACTGCCTTGTGCATTTAGTGTATGTGTATGATTATTCCCTTTGCCAAGACTAGTCTGTTCTCCCTTTTTTTACCCGTAAGGGACAGCAATGGAAATTTGGTGTCATTTTCACTGGCAAAGGAAAGGAACAATTATGGGATGCCCCATTTGCTGGGAATTTTGAACTGAGTAAAAAAAAAAAAAACCCACAAAAAACACGCAGCATAGATATACATATTAATCATCAAAATGACTTAGAAATGAACATATTACCTAGGACAGAAACAGTGTTGCCACTTTGGATGTTTTATATCCACATTTAGATGTTTTTTCTTGCATTTAGATGGCATTTTTGACATTTAGATGGTAGATATTTTCTAGATGTTTTTCATTTGGAGTGATTTTATCAAATCTAACCTAAGAAACAGGATGAAATTTGACCTCCTAAATGCTATCGTGACAATAAAATTTGGCTTAATAAGAGTAGGAAAAGGCTGTTCCACTTATCAGCTCCATGATTGAGTATAAAAAGATATTGAAACAGCTAAAGCATACCAGAGTCATTTTGGATCTAAAGCTTCAAATTCATCATCCAAGCCAAGTTTACCCTGTGGATCTTGTGAGGCAGAGTTCAGAAAATATGAATACATGATTTTATAGGGTAAGTCATTTCAGTTGCTTGTAATTTATGACTCTTTCCATGTGGATGTTTTTTCTAGATGTTTTCCACGCAAATTCAGATGTTTTTAGATATTTTTTTACTCCGTTTTGAATGTTTTTTGTAAAAGAAAAGTGGCAACACTGGTCAGAAATGATGTAAATTTAAATAAAGAAAACAGGAAAATTATGACTAATTTACAAATTTAGTAGTCAGAGGAGAGTTAAAAAGTATTGAATTTCGCAACCATAAAAGATGTGACATACATGTGATCGTGTCAGCCAAGAAAAACATGCTATACATATTGAATGTAAAAATCAAGAACAAGAAGACAGAAGATAGGACAGTAATTACCAGGGAAGACATAACTGACATAAGAACAGAGGGACTAATAGAAGGATATAATAATTAAAAAGAACAAAAGGGGTGCTACAGATATGTACAAAACAAAATATACAAGCAGGCTTAATCTGTTTTTACCTGTGGGTAGAGTCTGGGTACCCTATATGTTTGCTTGAGTACACAATGTATGTGTGCAATTGTAATAAACTTTTGATTATGCAAGAAAAAAAAATGGTTTCTGCTTACACATACACACACCTATGCATATATATATATATATATATATATATATATATATATATATATATATATATATATATATATATATATATATATATGTATGTATATATGTATGTATGTATGTATGTATGTATGTATGTATGTATGTATGTATGTATGTATGTATGTATGTATGTATGTACATGTATGTATGTATGTATTCCAATACATTAACACATTACCAATTATATGTGTGTGTGCATGTGTGTCAAGTCACCATTGTAAAGCCTCCTTTGTTAAAGAATCAGCATAAAACTTGGGATCTTCAACTCTTGTGTGATTCCAGTACTAATTTATGAAAGCGAGATTTGGAAAACAACAGTAGCTCTTGATAAAAAAAAAGTGTGACAATTTTGAGAACGGATGTTTCAGAAGAATACTAAATCTTCAGTGGACAGATTTCAGATCCAACAATCTAACAAGACAAAAGACCAAGCAAGAAAATGTATCCAATTTTATAAGAAAGCGCCGCTGGAACTACATCGGCCATGCACTCGGAATGGATAAGACAAGACTCCCCCATCGAGTCCTCATATGAACACCGGGAGGGAAAATAAAACGGGGAAGACCAAGAGAGACTCTGTTAAGAACCATCATCAGGGAAGGCACAATTATGAGCCTAATGAATATCCAAGACCTCCAGTGAGATGCAAATCAGAGTCTTTATGCAGGGTTTCTTGTAGGGCAGCCACGTGTACCCTGTGGTTGTTTAGCAGTTTGGCAAGTTCAAGTTTCTTATTTCTTATTCCACAGATGTTCAGCTGCAGAATATTGAGCATCTGTGTATTTTTTGCTGTGCTGTCTGAGTTCTCTTTGCTCTCCCTCCCACTCCTCCTCCTCCTCCTGGGGTTTCTGATTTTCCTATTTATTTCAAATTTTCCAGTAGCCAATTTTTCGCACATGACAGCCTGGTTTCCCACTGTCTGGCGCGGGCCTTGACAGACGAGGCGACGACCGATCTCGTATGTATTCTTAAATTTTGACATATTCATGGCATTGTGGTGCTGGGGTGTCTGTGGATTACCTACCTCCCCGGGCAGCAGCCAGAAATGCCCTGTACCAGTTCTAAAGGAAATATGGGTTGTGTTTCTGCCTTCCCCTTTAACACGTATCCAAGACCTAAAAAAGGTGTTATGAACCGTCAGACATGGAGAGCTATGACCTCTGCCCTATGCACCGCCTTAGGCTCAAGAGGAAAGACTAATGCATCTCTGCATACATGGGTGACTACATAATGTAAAGGTATAATATATGTGTGTGAGTGTGTGTGTATGCAAGTTTTGTCTGCTTGTTGAGAGAAAGAGAGAGGGAAAAGACATACAGACAAAGACAGAGAGAGAGAGAGAGAGAGAGAGAGAGAGAGAGAGAGGGAGAGAGACAGACTGACAGAGAGACCATTGTTGATGTGTGGGTTGTTACTAATAGAACATATTTCTAGCAGCTCTGCAGAAACTCACCTGCCTTTATATATACGTTTATCTTCAGAATGGTGACGCTGAAAATCCTGGAGCTGCGGGAGAACCATCTGAAAACTTTGCCTCGATCTTTCAGTCGCCTGATTCACTTAGAACGACTAGACATTGGCAACAATGAACTAACTGAACTGGTAAAGTAGATTTGTCTCCCATTTCCTTTCTATTTTTTTTTTAAATGCATGACAAGCTAGGGGAGCCACTGTGATCTAGCGGCTAGAAGCTCGGCTGTGGATCGGGAGGTCGTGGGTTTGGTTCCTGACGAAGTTTTTTTTTTTTTTTTAGAAATGACCTTGGCTCCCAGGTCGATCCAGCCTTGAGTGGGTAGCAGATACAGTCCTGGGAAGTAAAGGTGGCTGGCATGATGCTGACCACATCATTCACCAAGTGATTGTTTGGTTTATAAAGTATAGGTCTAGCCCTATATACCCAATATGCCTAAAAGGCCTGGAAAAGGGTCCTTTACTTTATTTATGACAAGCTAGATTTGGTCAAGGTCCTTTAGGAGCAAGTACAACAATGAGGAAGAATAAATAGATCATTATAGTCTCAAGAGAATGATGCAACTGGGAGTGACCTGGGGATCTGACCGACATTCTCTACTCAGAGGAGAGGCAAGATATCCATAGTCAAACTACTACTGGTACCATCAGAATGGGAAATCTATACTAGCTGCTGGAGATGAGGACAAAGCACTTATGAAAATATCCTGAGTGCTATGATGTCATTTCTTAGCTCAGTATTCAACAGTTCTAATTGTTTTATTACATAACTCTTCCATTTGGGTGTGTGCTTTAGGATTATTTCTGTAGAAACCAGGCTCTCAGCCTTGGCTGGCAGCTGGTCTAGACAGGAAGCTCCAACAAGTGGACAAATGGAGCACTGCTTCTCTGGCAGGTTCTGTGGCATGCCAAGTTGCAGATTTATTGGTGTTACTTTCCCATTGGAGTAAACAAGGTTGGCTGAGAAAGGGATCATACATTATAGACAATATGTGGTCTCTACTACATTGCTAAGGTTTTGTGCTATGATGAATTCAAAAGGGGGTGGCCATAGCAATGCAACGATTAAATAGCATTAAAAATATAGATTAAGCATCAGCAAGGAAGTCAAAGTAAGAAATTTGAGAGAATGCATTTTCCCTGTAGCAACATACTGATGTGAGTTGTGGCCTTTCTCAGATCTTTAGGAAGAAAATAAGGCCCTTTGAGCTGAACTGCTATAGACATATTCTCAGAATACAATGGATCCAGAAGAAGAGAAATACTGACATCCTGAAAGATCTGAACATCAAGGAAGATTGATTAGTAAACACAAACTTTGTCTCAGAAACTGAAATATTTTGGCCATATCAAACACCACAACAGAATGAACAGAATAATAGCAGAAAGCATGGTACCAGGAAAGAGGGGCAGGGAATGACAAGCACAAAGATGGACACAGGATATAAATGATACCTTGGGTAGGAAGTGCACAAGGCAGCAAAGCGGGTGAGAGACTGTTTCTTTCAGGCAGACTGTGATGAGAGCTATGTTTAGCAAACGACCTACTGCATGATGATGATTGTGCTATGGAGAGAAGGGACTTTACTCTTGCCATCACTTGTACATAGCCATGGTCTATAAATTCCATGATTCCCTTTAACACAATATAACACTATTGTCTAACAACAAAAGAAAATCTCCCAATGTCCTAATCATAACTCAGAATGTATAAATAGGATAATATTTCAAATAATGCCAACATAAAACAAAAATTGGCTGAATGAAATGCTTATTTGGTATATAAAATAAAATAAAAATAAATATACACTGGAAACAAATGGCCACTATGTAACTAAGCGTATAACCTTGAGAGTTGAACAGGATATTTCTTGGAAGACAACAACAACAACATCAACAGTATCAATAACTACTACTACTACTGCTACTACTATTACTACAAAAGCCGCTGCTTCTTTCCCTGCTGTTGCTGCTGCTATTATTTCATGTTTTATCACCTATGCTTGATGTATTTATTGTTTACCTGCGTACACCTGACAGTCAGATGTCATTGGAGGATTGGCAAGTCTTCTGGAGCTGTGGTGCGACAACAATCAAATCACTACCATTGCTAATGTAAGCTTTGTTGTAGTCTCTACAGCTAATGTAAGCTATTTTGTAGCATCTACAGCTAATGTAAGCTATGTTGTAGTCTCTACAGCTTATGTAAGCTTTGTTGTAGTCTCTACAGCTAATGTAAGCTATTTTGTAGCATCTACAGCTAATGTAAGCTATGTTGTAGTCTCTACAGCTAATGTAAGCTATGTTGTAGTCTATACAGCTTATGTAAGCTATGTTGTAGTCTCTACAGCTAATGTAAGCTATTTTGTAGCTTCTACAGCTAATGTAAGCAATGTTGTAGCTTCTACAGCTAATGTAAGCTATGTTGTAGTTTCTACAGCTTATGTAAGCTATGTTGTAGTCTCTACAGCTAATGTAAGCTATTTTGTAGCTTCTACAGCTAATGTAAGCTATGTTGTAGCTTCTACAGCTAATGTAAGCTATGTTGTAGTCTCTACAGCTTATGTAAGCTATGTTGTAGTCTCTACAGCTAATGTAAGCTATTTTGTAGCTTCTACAGCTAATGTAAGCTATGTTGTAGCTTCTACAGCTAATGTAAGCTATGTTGTAGTCTCTACAGCTTATGTAAGCTATGTTGTAGTCTCTACAGCTAATGTAAGCTATTTTGTAGCTTCTACAGCTAATGTAAGCTATGTTGTAGCTTCTACAGCTAATGTAAGCTATGTTGTAGTCTCTACAGCTTATGTAAGCTATGTTGTAGTCTCTACAGCTAATGTAAGCTATTTTGTAGCTTCTACAGCTAATGTAAGCTATGTTGTAGTCTCTACAGCTAATGTAAGCTATTTTGTAGCTTCTACAGCTAATGTAAGCTATGTTGTAGTCTCTACAGCTAATGTAAGCTATTTTGTAGCTTCTACAGCTAATGTAAGCTATGTTGTAGCTTCTACAGCTAATGTAAGCTATGTTGTAGTCTCTACAGCTTATGTAAGCTATGTTGTAGTCTCTACAGCTAATGAAAGCTATTTTGTAGCTTCTACAGCTAATGTAAGCTATGTTGTAGCTTCTACAGCTAATGTAAGCTATGTTGTTGTCACTATAGGTAATGTGAGCTAAGTTCTAGTCTTTACAACTAACTTAATTTATGTTGTAATCTCTACAACCATTGTAAATCACATAATACCCTTTGCAACACTGGGCGCTATAAATCACACCACAATCTTTGCTACAAATGCTCTATATCTTGTCATCTTTCCTGTTTCAGTTTATCAGATCCATATATGTAGTCTGGTCTCTGAAATACCAGAACTGTCAGAACTTTTTATTTTTTAAGTAGTTTTTTTGTGTGTGTGAAAAGATTTATTCCATTTAGATTGTCTTAACAGGAGCTACAATGATCATCAAGGTCGTGCTCTCCGGATGAGGCTCTTTCATTGCACTTCAGTTATGTTGACGCCTGCGATCACCCCAAATGTGGGTGACTCGAGTGCGTTATTTTTTTCCGGCAATAACTCAGATCAGTCATCAGTCTCCTGTCTTTTATGTACTTTCAATAGTATTTGACACTAATGTTCTTCCGTACTATGAGGCCACACTGTTAAGCATCTTTTCTCTAGATCTTCATTATTTCCAGTATTTCCTCTCCAACTTTTGACTTATCGTGACATACTCCAGTTTACCCCTTCCCACGTTGCACTGCGACCAGTGAGGTACATTAATTCCTTCTCTTCTTTTTCTTCTTACCATTCATAGGCTGTGAACTCCAGAGGAAAGTTCTGGTTGTTCAACCACTTCTGGACTTTGGTCTTGTTCCAGGACTTGAGTTTTGTGTGCACATCTGTTTTACAGATCTGGTGAATTGTGCACAGATTCACAGCAAGAGGCACTTAAACGTCAAAAGAAATGCCCCTTATTATTCACCTTTTACAACATGCTTATGAGAGGGGCAGGGGGCCCCCTATATTCCCCCAAAATCGGGATCGCAGCCCCTAAATTCTGGGTGGGGAGTCTCTTACTGATATGGGTAATCAGTTCTGTTTGGAAAGTTACTGCAACCATTAAAAAAATGTGTTAAATGACTTGAGGGCGGCAATGATGCTATGGTTAAAAGGCTTGCCCGTCTGCTTGCCTTGTCTCCTATGTTTCAATACTATCAATATTTATGAAAACTAACACACTCTAAACTTTTTCTGCTTCTTCTTCTCCTTTGTTTCTTGTTTCTGAGGTTATAGTTTCAGAGAATTTTAATGATACTTTTCTTTTTAACAAAATGTGTGTGTGTGTGTGGGGGGGGGGGGGGGGGGGGGGGGGGGGGGGGTGGATCGTAAAGTTTCTTATATGTTGAACAGGTTAAAAGCTATTTTCTTACCTCAGTAGATAAAGACAGATTTTGTACAGCATTTTCCATCTTGAGAAATGCTGATTTTGCTTTATCTGTTCTACATTTAACTTTAAATCATCTTCCAATGACTGTTATGAGACTACTAAGTATCTAAACTTATCGACATTGCTTAAGGTTTGTCCCATTTACTCTAATGTTACATAACATAACCCTTGATCCGTTAGGGTCATTCACGTTTATTGATTAAAGCACTAGTACACAAAAAAAAACCTCACTAACTTTCTCTGCTTTCTGCTTCTTGAAAAAGTGTATAGTAATTTAGTCCTGTTTATTTCTTGATTTTGTCATTCCTGATTCTCAAACCTTAATGTTGCACCCTGACAGACATATTTCCTCTGCAATTAACATTACTTCTGTTTCTTCACTGTTCGAAATTAAATCTTTATTTTGTCTTTGAAGATCACAGATTGTGGAGAGGCATGATCAGCCAAGCCAGTCGACACAGCGCTTGATGATGATGATGATTTTGGCTTTCCCTATCAAAGAGCAGTCTAGCAGCCTTTAATGTGATATTTCTTGCTTCATAGCTTGTTAATAAATTTCCCCGTCTGGTTTCTGGGACCAAATTATGGGGAAAACCAGAATAGACCCAGTTCCTTCCAAACAAGCATGCTGTAAGAGGTGACTAATTAGGGGTTCCTTAGAAGTCGGAGTGCATCTGCCTGAGAGGTAAGAAACCAACAGTCTGCATATAAATAAGAAGCCAGATCTGTAAAATGGATTGTATGCAGAACTCAAGTTCTGGAACAAGACTGAAGTCCAGAAGTGGACAAACAACCAGAACTTTCCGTTGGAGTTTACAGCCAGTGAACGTTAAAAAGAAGGAAGAGGATTATTAAATTGAAACCTGTGATGTTTCTTGTTTTAATGGATGATAAGTGACCTGAAACATGATGTTTCTTGTTTTAATGGATGATAAGTGACCTGAAACATGATATTTCTTGATCTAACAGAATCTTAGCAACACAACATATGTGATATTTATTTCTATAACAAAACATCAGTGTCTGGAAATGTGATATTTACTTCTATAACAAAACATCAGTGTCTGGAAATGTGATATTTACTTGTATAGCGACGTTTAACGGCAGAAGTGGTTTATGATGATGATGACTTGTATAACAAAACACTAGCATTTAAATATCTGATATTTACCTCTATAACAAAACATCAACATCTGGAAATGTGATATTAATTTGTATAACAAAACATTAACATCTGGAAATGTGATATTAACTTGTATAACAAAACATTAACATCTGGAAATGTGATATTAACTTGTATAACAAAACATTAACATCTGGAAATGTGATATTAACTTGTATAACAAAACATTAGTGTCTCAAAATGTGATATTTTTTAATCTCACAGAAAATTGACAACCTGACATATTAAAACTTTCATATTTTCACAAAATACTGGCAGCCTGAAATGTGTGAAATTATTTGCTCTCACAAAATATTGGCAACCTGAAATGTGCGAAATTCTTTGCTCTCACAGAATATTGGCAGCCTGAAACAGTTGATGTTTTTAGATGCAAGTTACAACCAACTCCAAGAGCTGCCCCCAGAAATAGAGGGATGTACTTCCTTGGCTGACCTTCACCTTACCTCTAACAGTATGGTGGCGCTTCCTGCTTCTGTTGGTAAGTTCACCAACATGTCTGCAGAAACATTTTTGTCTGCCAGTCACAAGTTCATTTCCAGTCTTGTCTGTTCTTTTTCACTCATGTCTGTTCTTGTCCAAGCTGTCTTACAATAATGATGAATAACATATTGACCTACTTCTATAATTATTAGGTCTCCTAAACTGTCATCCAGTTATGTTTACTATTGAGTCTTGTTTAGTAATGTCTTGTATTTTGTAGACTTATCTATTTTTATCCAGTGTTGTTAACTAATGCTTAGTCACACAAACATATGCACACATCCACCCACCCACACACACACGCACACACACACACACAGTATACATGCACCCACCCACCCACCCACCCACACACACGCACACACACACACACACAGTATACATGCACCCACCCACCCACCCACACACACACACACACCACACACACCACACACACTCACGCACGCACGCACGCACACGCGCGCACGCACACGCACAAGTATACATGCACCCACCCACACACAGAACACAGTAGAAACAGAAAGAATGTAAATGGTGTAGTTTTGGTGTATGTTACATAGGTTTCAATGATCAAAATCTCATTAATTACAAAGAAGCTAAACACCCTGCCTTTTTTTGTGTGGAATCTTGAATGTTGTAATAAAAATCAACATCACAACTCTCGGGACATCCCCAGAAGTTCTCCATCCCCAGAAGTTCTCCATCCCCAGAAGTTCTCCATCCCCATAAGTTCTCCATCCCCAGAAGTTCTCCATCCCCAGAAGTTCTCCACCCCCATAAGTTCTCCATCCCCATAAGTTCTCCATCCCCAGAAGTTCTCCATCCCCATAAGTTCTCCATCCCCATAAGTTCTCCATCCCCATCTTCAGCAGCAAGCAAAGAGTTCCAATTCTTTTTGTGGAGTAAGTAACTATAGGACCCATGACATGCCTTCAGGCGTATTGGGCATATAGGGCATAACAGATTCTATAAATCAGTCGGCACTTGGTGGGTGATATGGTCAGCATCATGTGTGGACATCAGTGTTTGTGTGTGAGTGTGGACATCAGTGTTTGTGTGTCAGTGTGTGCATCAGTGTTTGTGTGTGCATTGTGGACATCAGTGTTTGTGTGTGCATTGTGGACATCAGTGTTTGTGTGTGAGTGTGGACATCAGTGTTTGTGTGTCAGTGTGTGCATCAGTGTTTGTGTGTGCATTGTGGACATCAGTGTTTGTGTGTGAGTGTGGACATCAGTGTTTGTGTGTCAGTGTGTGCATCAGTGTTTGTGTGTGAGTGTGTGCATCAGTGTTTGTGTGTCAGTGTGTGCATCAGTGTTTGTGTGTCAGTGTGTGCATCAGTGTTTGTGTGTGAGTGTGTGCATCAGTGTTTGTGTGTCAGTGTGTGCATCAGTGTTAGTGTGTGAGTGTGTGCATCAGTGTTTGTGTGTCAGTGTGTGCATCAGTGTTTGTGTGTCAGTGTGTGCATCAGTGTTTGTGTGTGCATTGTGGACATCAGTGTTTGTGTGTGCATTGTGGACATCAGTGTTTGTGTGTGAGTGTGGACATCAGTGTTTGTGTGTCAGTGTGTGCATCAGTGTTTGTGTGTGCATCAGTGTTTGTGTGTCAGTGTGTGCATCAGTGTTTGTGTGTCAGTGTGTGCATCAGTGTTTGTGTGTGCATCAGTGTTTGTGTGTCAGTGTGTGCATCAGTGTTTGTGTGTGCATCAGTGTTTGTGTGTCAGTGTGTGCATCAGTGTTTGTGTGCATCAGTGTTTGTGTGTCAGTGTGTGCATCAGTGTTTGTGTGTCAGTGTGTGCATCAGTGTTTGTGTGTCAGTGTGCGCATTGGTGTTGGTGTGTGAGTGTGTGTGTCAGTGTCAGTGTCAGTGGGTGAGAGTGTGCATCAGTGTTGGTGTGTGAGTGTGTGCATCAGCGTTAGTGTGTGAGTGTGTGCATTAGTGTGGTGTGTGAGTGTGTGCATCAGTGTTAGTGTGTCAGTGTTTGCATCAGTGTAAGTGTGTGAGTGTGTGCTTCAGTGTTTGTGTGTGCATTGTGGACATCAGTGTTTGTGTGTCAGTGTGTACATCAGTGTCGTTGTGTGTGTGTGCATCGGCCTAAGTGTGTGAGTATATGTGCATTGATGTTGGGGTGTATGCATCAGTGTTAGTGTGTGAGTGTGTGCATCATTGTCAGTGTATGAGTGCGTGTGTCAGCTTTGGTATGTGAGTAAATATGCATTGATGTTGGTCTGTGAGTGTGTTTGCTCATCCAGGCATCTTTATCAAACTTCTTCCTACACAGGAAACTTGGTCAATCTGACAACTCTGAAAGTGGATAACAATCAGCTGACATGTTTGCCACCAACCTTGGGAGAGTGAGTATCATTCACACACTGTAGAGAAAGTATCTCACTACATATGACAAAAATATTGTTTCATTAAACAATTTTTCCTTCAGGTTTAACTCTTTGAGTCCCAGGGGTTTTAGCATCACAGGCCCAGGGGGTAGTAAAAAGGGTAATAAAATCAGCGCATCATACGTTCATTGGGCTTCTAGGTAGGAACCTATGAACGTATGATGCGTTTCTTGGGACTCAAAGAGTTAAGCATGTTTGTGAAATGTGGACTTTAACGGCTGAACTTGAAAAGAAGATACAAGCATTGGAAATGTGATCTTTCAGAAAAATTCTCAAAAACACTACTACAGGATGCGATAGGTTGAGGGGGTGGGGGAATGGGAAGTGGACAAGAGGCAGACCAAGAAAGACCTGGATACAGAACTTGACTGACTGGACATGCCTTAGGCATGCAACCATGAAGTCCATCGCATCTGACCCTCAAAGGAGCTGATCAGACATTCAGCAGCAACTGGTGACCCAATGACACGCAATATTATGGGATGATGATGATGATGAGGAGGGAATCTTACTGAAAGATTAAAACCTAGTGACTTAAGAAGACACTATTCTGATGAGAAACCAACAGGGGAATATGCCAGAAATCCTGTTCAACTGTATAATAATGTTAGCAAACCTGATAGTGATGAAACAAACTGCAGTCCATTAGTAAGTTAGTTAGTCGACTGATTATCTTTATTGCACATCAGATCATTCAGCCATCAGTGCTCAGATCCCCCCCCCCCCCCTTTCCCCCGACCCCCTTAGTAAATCCTGCAGTGTTTAGTGACTGAAGACACCAGTCTTCCCTTGGTTTCTTATTCTTCTTTGTCTTTTTGCATAGTGCTCTTGTCTGGCCACACCCATTTTAACTTGCTATTCTTGCAGTTTGGTCATGGTTGCTGTTCACTGTTATTTGACCCTTGCAAACATCTTCTTCTCATAAAGTATTCAACATGCAGCACAGTATCGGAGGGTATGTTATGATTACAAATACTGCACTACAGTCTTTTCCATCATCCTTTTTTGAGAACTGTTGCAGTTAAAAAGCTGCGCCTAGAAGTCAGGTTACAGCTGTCTGTCATCTACATGCAGTTTTCTGTGGCCCTAAAGACTCTGAACATGACTGTCTCAGCTGTTTACCTCTAGGGGCAGAGAACAAACAGTGACTGAGGAAAAACAAAAATGAGCTCATACACAGGGAGAAGGAGTAGAGAGACACCAGAAGACAACAATGAGCTCATACACAGGGAGAAGGAGTAGAGAGACACCAGAAGACAAAAATGAGCTCATACACAGGGAGAAGGAGTAGAGAGACACCAGAAGACAACAATGAGCTCATACACAGGGAGAAGGAGTAGAGAGACACCAGAAGACAAAAATGAGCTCATACACAGGGAGAAGGAGTAGAGAGACACCAGAAGACAACAATGAGCTCATACACAGGGAGAAGGAGTAGAGAGACACCAGAAGACAACAATGAGCTCATACACAGGGAGAAGGAGTAGAGAGACACCAGAAGACAACAATGAGCTCATACACAGGGAGAAGGAGTAGAGAGACACCAGAAGACAACAATGAGCTCATACACAGGGAGAAGGAGTAGAGAGACACCAGAAGACAACAATGAGCTCATACACAGGGAGAAGGAGTAGAGAGACACCAGAAGACAACAATGAGCTCATACACAGGGAGAAGGAGTAGAGAGACACCAGAAGACAAAAATGAGCTCATACACAGGGAGAAAGGAGTAGAGAGACACCAGAAGACAACAATGAGCTCATACACAGGGAGAAGGAGTAGAGAGACACCAGAAGACAACAATGAGCTCATACACAGGGAGAAGGAGTAGAGAGACACCAGAAGACAACAATGAGCTCATACACAGGGAGAAGGAGTAGAGAGACACCAGAAGACAAACAATGAGCTCATACACAGGGAGAAGGAGTAGAGAGACACCAGAAGACAACAATGAGCTCATACACAGGGAGAAGGAGTAGAGAGACACCAGAAGACAACAATGAGCTCATACACAGGGAGAAGGAGTAGAGAGACACCAGAAGACAACAATGAGCTCATACACAGGGAGAAGGAGTAGAGAGACACCAGAAGACAACAATGAGCTCATACACAGGGAGAAGGAGTAGAGAGACACCAGAAGACAACAATGAGCTCATACACAGGGAGAAGGAGTAGAGAGACACCAGAAGACAACAATGAGCTCATACACAGGGAGAAGGAGTAGAGAGACACCAGAAGACAACAATGAGCTCATACACAGGGAGAAGGAGTAGAGAGACACCAGAAGACAACAATGAGCTCATACACAGGGAGAAGGAGTAGAGAGACACCAGAAGACAACAATGAGCTCATACACAGGGAGAAGGAGTAGAGAGACACCAGAAGACAACAATGAGCTCATACACAGGGAGAAGGAGTAGAGAGACACCAGAAGACAACAATGAGCTCATACACAGGGAGAAGGAGTAGAGAGACACCAGAAGACAACAATGAGCTCATACACAGGGAGAAGGAGTAGAGAGACACCAGAAGACAACAATGAGCTCATACACAGGGAGAAGGAGTAGAGAGACACCAGAAGACAACAATGAGCTCATACACAGGGAGAAGGAGTAGAGAGACACCAGAAGACAACAATGGAGCTTTCACCAAGCCATCATCATATTTAAAAAAGTGGACAGAATTGGTGTGAGTGGGTACGAGGTATAGACACTTCTTTCTTGCAGGCGCTTATAGGATTATGTTGGTCAGGTCGTCCTGGGGTTCATGGTCATCCTGGGGTTCATGGTCATGCTGGGGTTCATGGTCATGCTGGGGTTCATGGTCATGCTAGGGGTTTATGGTCATGCTGGGGTTCATGGTCATACTGGGGTTCATGGTCATGCCAGGGTTCATGGTCATGCCAGGGTTCATGGTCAGTTCATGGTCATGCTGGGGATCATGGTTATGCTGGGATTCATGGTCATGCTGTGGTTCATGGTTTTCCTGGGGTTCATGGTTATGCTGGGGTTCATGGTCATGCTGGGGTTCATGGTCATGCTGGGGTTCATGGTCATGCTGGGGTTCATGGTTATGCTGTGGTTTATGGTTATGCTGGGATTCATGGTCATACTGGGGTTCATGGTTATGCTGGGGTTCATGGTCATGCTGTGGTTCATGGTCATGCTGGGGTTCATGGTTATGCTGTGGTTCATGGTTATGCTGGGGTTCATGGTTATGCTGGGGTTCATGGTCATGCTGGGATTCATGGTAATGATGGGGTTCATGGTCATGCTGTGGTTCACAGTCATGCTGTGGTTCATGGTCAGTTCATGGTCATGCTGGGGTTCATGGTTATGCTGGGGTTCATGGTCATGCTGTGGTTCACAGTCATGCTGTGGTTCATGGTCAGTTCATGGTCATGCTGGGGTTCATGGTTATGCTGGGGTTCATGGTCATGCTGTGGTTCACAGTCATGCTGTGGTTCATGGTCAGTTCATGGTCATGCTGTGGTTCATGGTTATGCTGGGGTTCATGGTCATGCTGGGGTTCATGGTTATGCTGGGGTTCATGGTAATGCTGTGGTTCACAGTCATGCTGTGGTTCATGGTCAGTTCATGGTCATGCTGGGGTTCATGGTTATGCTGGGGTTCATGGTCATGCTGTGGTTCACAGTCATGCTGTGGTTCATGGTCAGTTCATGGTCATGCTGTGGTTCACAGTCATGCTGTGGTTCATGGTCAGTTCATGGTCATGCTGTGGTTCAGTCATGCTGGGGTTCATGGTCATGCTGTGGTTCAGTCATGCTGGGGTTCATGGTCATGCTGTGGTTCACAGTCATGCTGTGGTTCATGGTTATGCTGGGATTCATGGTTATGCTGGGGTTCATGGTCATACTGGGGTTCATGGTTATGCTGGGGTTCATGTTCATGCTGTGGTTCACAGTCATGCCGTGGTTCATGGTTATGCTGGGATTCATGGTTATGCTGGGGTTCATGGTCATACTGGGGTTCATGGTCATGCCGGGGTTCATGGTCATGCCAGGGTTCATGGTCAGTTCATGGTCATGCTGGGTTCATGACAAAGAGCTTGTAAATCCTTTAGCCTCAAATGAGCCAGTAGTTACAATACTTGCAGTGAAATGTACGACTTTCATTGGATAAATGGGATATTCACTGTTCTCCAGGCTATCCTCACTGTCAGAGTTAAATGTCAGCAACAACAACCTGCAGGAGTTGCCAGCTAGCATCGGGCTCTTGAGAAACTTGCGGACATTTTATGCAGATGAGAACATGCTGCAGCAAATACCAGCAGAAGTCAGTGTGTTTGTGTGTGTCACTGTGTCTGATTATGTTACTATAGTTCGTTCTAAAAGTTGCGCCCTCAAACTTGAAAAAACATTCCAAAATCCCCTTTACGAATCAGTTTTTTTTTCAAGAGGTCTTAGATTTCCCATGTCCATATGATTTCACAAATAAGGCAAAATAAAAATTAGCTGTTTGTTTACATTATAATTTTTTTCCTTTGAGGTCATGATTATTAACAGATTGCTTGCCAAATTTTAACAACTTACATCGAACAGTTACTGAATTACAAATTTTTAAATTTGGGCGCAACTTTTGGAATGGACTATATTTAAGTTATTTAGTCAAGTTATTCAGTTATTCTCATTCATAACTTCATATTAAATGGATCACCCCCTAATTTACATTGTAAATGTTTTATAAGTGGAATAGTAACTATACATATTAATGTGGTTGAGAACTTTATAGAAGAAGTCTGGATGTATGGAAGTGAATTATGGCTTCCCCGTATGGGCTCCCTGGCCCCGTATTGTGAAGAAAATAATAGACCCACTGTCCCGTAAAAAGCTGGTCATACAAGGCAACTGACTAATAAGGGATTGGGCCAGAAGATGTAGATATCACACCCTATCTGTAAACTGTAATAAAACATGTCATCTGCCTTTTCAAGGGCAAATATAGATGATGAAGAAAAAGAAGAATTGTCAGTAGATTAGTCTGAAATTATGTGGAAGTTGCTCAGATGTGGTTTTGTAGAAGCGTGAGGAGAATACCATGAACAGACAAGGATCATAATGAAGTTGTCTTGAAAGAAATCTACTTGCAGAGAATACTTTTTTTATATACCCGCATCAGAAGCAGATAGTCTAGTCTTTATGCATATCATAAGAATGCAAGAAATGGAGCAGGTCTGATAATAGCAGGAAAGTTGGAGATGGAAAGAGGAGATTGGGAATTATTAAACTGTTATTAATATGTTATGATATTTTGGCATTTTGGCTGATTTTCTGCCATGGTAATCTAGTAAACCAGTTCCCATTGTCATGTTTATGTTACCAAAGCAACTAAATGAAGCAGGAAACAGTAACACTGTTAACTCTAATACATGACTTAGAACAGGCATGTCAAACTGAAGGTTCCCCCTAGGTCAGTTGTTCTCAACCTTCCTAATGCCGCGACCCTTTAATACAGTTCCTTATGTTGTGGCGACCTCCGACCATAACATTATTTTTGTTGTTACTTCACAACTTCAGTGAATATATGTTTTCCCATGGTCTTAGGTGATCCATGTGAAAGGGTTGTTTGACCCACAAATGGGTGGAGAACCCCTGCGCTAGGACCATATTGGTTACACTTGGGTTGTCATGAGGACCATACACAACAACTAAATGATGCATCATTATGCTTAGCTATCCTATCTATCTACTTTTACCCCACCAGAACATCACACAAGTGATAAACACCTGATGACACAAAGTGCCACCATGTGGATGAGGATCACCTGTGGAGAGGTACAAGAAACCAAGTTCAGCCATTAGACCATATCTATAGCCGGGCTATATTGCAGCCCCTGGCAGTAGCCAGGGTGAGGCTTCAAATAATGAAAAAGTGCATCCTACAAAGGAGTGACAGAGGTTAAGAGAAAAATGTATCCAGTGAATGAGTTGGTTGGAGGTCAATACTCCAGCAGAGGTACATGACAAGAGGAAGGATTATTGGTGATATATTTTTTTTTAATCATTCACAGATTGGTAGCTGCAGTGGGATTACAGTATTGTCCTTGAGAAGCAACAAATTGACCTACATTCCAGATGAACTGGGTCGAATCCCTGGTTTACGAGTACTTAATTTGAGTGATAACTTGCTTTGTTATCTCCCTTTCTCCATTGTCAAACTGAAGGAGTTGCAAGCATTGTGGCTAACGGAGAACCAGGTGAATATCTTCTGCCTTTTAAGGGTAGGAAACCTCTGCTCTGGAGCATCTTTCAGTGTCTCACTGTGGCAAAACTATCATCTGGTTTGCCTCCCATTGTGGCAAACTTCTCCTTTAGTGTGTCTTCCATTGTGGCAAACCTCTCTTCTAGTGTGTGTCCCATTGTGACAAACCCCTCCTCTAGTGTGTTTCCCATCGTCTCACATTGTGGCAAACCTCTCCTCTTGTGTACCTCAAAGTAGCTGCAGACAAAGAGCAAACTCTGTATGAAGCTTTAGCTGCAGTTAAGGGTCAGAGGCTGAAAAAGGGAAAAGCGTGGATGGCTGAAGCAGAAGACACAATTAGACAAGTATGCATGCTGGAGAACATTGTGTGAAGAGAGGAGTGGGTCAGAGTACCAGAGGAAAAGTCTTACCCATGTAGGGTCATGATCACATTGGGCCGGGAGTGCAGAAAATGGCCAGTAGGTGCTACATAAGTGGAAGTCCAACATTTGATTCACAACAATTCTCACCCAGAAATTTGATTATCTTTACGATGATTCTGTATTGAGAGGGAAGAGAAGTTCCTGGGGGTTCGTAGCAAATGGAAAATCTTTAGCACAGGACAGCCTAGCATATGATACCACAACATCTAACATGAGAATAGAGATGGAGGTGGTTACTGCCACTTTCCAGTGGCTAGAGAACAAGATGCATGCACATATCATAATTGTAACAGACTCAGAGAGTATACTGAGAAAAGTGAAGACAGGGATGCTTTGAGCAGAGTGGCAAGCTTCACTAGGAAGGTCACTAGTAGTAAGCATACTTTAGATCTTTTCTGCAGTTTAGCCGGTGTTTTGGGAAATGAACAGGCAGGCAGATTGGCTGGATCTGCACTGCTGGGTGGTGAATTGATACAAGACAAGGCAGATGTGGTCAAGGCCCTTTGGGAACATGTAATGAAATCAGAAGAGAAACAAGATTATTATGGCCTGGAGAGAATGAGGCACCTAGGTGTAACCAGAGGGTCTGGCCGGCTCACTACACTCTGAGGAATGACAAGATGGATATATAACCAGATTACAGCTGGTACCATTAGTATTGGAACTCTGTCCTGGCTGCTGAAGATAAGGACGGAGCATGCACAGGAATGCCCCCAGTGCTGTGATGTCAATTCTTGACAACTCAACTCTCTAGTGTGTCTGCCATTGTCACACTGTGGCAAACCTCTCCTCTGTTGTATCTCCCATTGTCTCTGTGGCAAACCTCTCCTGTCGGGTGTCACCCATGGTCTCACTGTGGCAAACCTCTCCACTAATGTTCTCCTATTGTCTTACTGTGGCAAACCTCTCCTCTAATGTGACTCCCACTGTCTCACTGTAGCAAACCTCTCCTTTAATGTATATCCCATTGTCTCACTGTGACAAACCTCTTCTCTAGTGTGTCTCCCATTGTCTCACTGTAGCAAATCTCTCCCCTAATGTGTCTCCGATTGTTTCACTGTGGGGAACCTCTCCTTTGTGTGTCTCCAGTTATCTCATTGTGGCAAACCTCTCCTCTAATTGTCTCCCATTGTCTCACTGTGGCAGACCTTGACTTCTTGAAATGCTTGTTATAGGCAGTGGGTCTATTCTTTCTTCCCCCCCCCCTCCCCCCCCCCCCACCCACCCCCCCCCCCCCCCCCCCCCCCCCCCCCCCCCCCCCCACCCCATCCCTACATTGGGGCCCAAGAACCCACAGAGGGATATATTTTTTTTAACTTAAGATTTTTATGCTGGCGGGTGAGCATCTTGTCACTTTCAAATTAATTGAATATCTGAATGATATTATATGTATGTGATATAACTTCAGTATGTCAGTCATGGATGTAAACTATGGTGTATGCTCTAACAGACTCGGCCACTGATTCCCCTCCAGTCCGAGTTCGACGCTGAAACTGGCAGGAAAATACTCACCTGCTACCTGCTACCTCAAGGTCACATGAAGGAGAATGGTAACCAAGGGCCACATTCTTGTTTTTCTTTTTTTTTCTTTTTTAAAATTGACACAGTCATACATGCACACACAGAAAAATACACACACATAATGTTGTTGTAGTTGTTGATATTGTTTTTCCATCTGAGGTGATGACGACCACTCTTTCTTTAATCTGTCGTGAAACCATACTTGATTGTCTGTGAGTCCAGAGGTGACTTATAAGCCTAATATGGGCCCGGAATGATCAAAGACAAAGGGCAGGGAACAGTGTCTGTAGGAAAATGGCCGGTTCTTTTATAATAAACTACCCCGGAAGACGTCACAGGACAGTCCAACATTTTTAGAGGTTCTGATGTTTTTAACGATCCTAAAAACATCTAGAACTGGCCCTAACCCTAACCTACCTACGTCCCACGAAAAAGTGCAGCCTAGGTCTCACGACTGCATGCAGCCTAGGTCCCATGACTGCATGTAGCTTATCTACCACACCCTGAAATATTTGATTTGTGGATTTCCCCTGTTTGGGGTAGGATATTAAGAAAGCACCAAAGAGCCTACACATACATACAGGAAATGAAAAAATGTATTTTTAAAAATCACATTAAATGTGTAATGTGAAATTATTCCAAAGTTAGTAAAGTATATGGGTATAAAGGGCTAAACTTATTTTATAGACTAGTCAGCCCTCAATATGTGATGTGGTCAACACCACACCAGCCGCCTTTATTTCCCAGGACTTTACCTAGGAGTTATTCCGATGGACAAACCAAAATAATAATATCCACTATGTTTCTCAGATAAAAGAGAGCTTGTGGGAGACAGCGAGAGCTTTCATGGTTCCATGTGGGACGAGGAGAGACTCCGCCGTCAGCAGATCCACTTTGACTTCATTGACAGCTCAGATGAAGGAGTAAGATATTTTCTATTGGTTACATTGCCTGAATCTATTTACTCCTCACAAGACAAATGTTGTACATCGAGTTAGGTTCAGATTTGACACTGGCTGTCATGTTGACCCTGTTTAAAATGAGTGCCCTAAAATTTCTCCATTGTATAATTAACTAACTGTTTTCTCCTCTGGACTTCTGTATGAATGTTTTTGCACGATGGTGACCCAGTGAGGGCATCCAAGATGTTATGCTAGCAAGACAAATTCCAGATACCCTTTTCAACCTCCTAAGAAAGAAGTTTTAATTAGGGAACCATGCTAGGTACTTTTTGGAATAGCAGTCAACTGGGTCAGGCACAAAATCACAAATGACATGAATATGGGTATCAAATGGATTAACAGAATTCTAGAAGGACCTTGACTTTGCTGACGACATAGTGCTTTTGAGTTCAGCGCACCCAGATATCCTGGAGAAAACAGACCATCTCCAAAATGTTTTGGTACAAACTGGTCTCCAAATTAACACCACAAAAACAGAAATGATTGATCTTACTAAGAGTTCAAACGACATCAAACTAAACAATCACATCCTTGAAAACGTTGACAGCTTTACATACTTAGGGAGTAAGATGACATCTACAGGAGACTCAGCACCAGAAATATCGTTTAGAACCGCACTAGCATCTAGTGCCTTTAACAGACTGTCAAACATCTAGAAGTCAAAAACATTCAGCAAACACATAAAACTTCACATCTTTAACTCTTGTGTGATTTTAGTGCTAACTTATGGATGCAAAAGTTGGAAAGCAACAGTAGCTCTAGATAAAAAATTAGACAATTTTGAGAACAAATGTCTTAGAAGAATACTGATTCTCCACTGGACAGAATTCAGATCCAGTATGCAAATAAGAGAAACAAGAGAATGTATCGTGTCTTATAAGAAAGTGCTGCTAGAAGCACATCGGCCATGGACTCAGAATAGATAAGACCAGACTCCCCCATCAAGTCTTCATATGGACATGAGAGCAACAAGAAGTCATGGAAGACCAAGAGAAACCCTGGGTAGAACCGTCATCAGGGAAGGCTCGACCATGAGCCTCATGAACATCCAAGACCTAAAACTGGTGGCAATGAACTAGTAGTGTTAGTACTTTTACCCCACCAGGACATCACACAAGCGATAAGCACCAGATGACACAAAGTGCCACCATGTGGATGAGGATCGCCGTGGAGAGCTTCTAGGGACTGTGTGTTCAGACATTTGGCCATGACTGACTGACTGACTTTTTACCCCACCAGGACATCACACAAGTGATAAACGCCCGATGACACAAAGTGCCACCATGTGGATGAGGATCGCCATGGAGAGCTTCTAGGGACTGTGTGTTCAGACATTTGGCCATGACTGACTGACTGACTTTCTACCCCACCAGGACATCACACAAGTGATAAGCACCCGATGACACAAAGTGCCACCATGCGGATGAGGATCGCCATGGAGAGCTTCTAGGGACTGTGTGTTCAGACATTTGGCCATGACTGACTGACTGACTTTTTACCCCACCAGGACATCACACAAGTGATAAACACCCGATGACACAAAGTGCCCCCATGTGGATGACTGACTGACTTTCTACCCCACTAGGACATCACACAAGCGATGAGCACCAGATGACACAAAGTGCCACCATGTGGATGAGGATCGCCATGGAGAGCTTCTAGGGACTGTGTGTTCAGACATTTGGCCATGACTGACTGACTGACTTTTTACCCCACCAGGACATCACACAAGTGATAAACGCCCGATGACACAAAGTGCCCCCATGTGGATGACTGACTGACTTTCTACCCCACCAGGACATCACACAAGCGATAAGCACCCGATGACACAAAGTGCCACCATGCGGATGAGGATCGCCGTGGAGAGCTTCTAGGGACTGTGTGTTCAGACATTTGGCCATGACTGACTGACTGACTTTTTACCCCACCAGGACATCACACAAGCGACAAACACCCAATGACACAAAGTGCCACCATGCGGATGAGGATCACCTGTGGAGAGGTCCTGGAAACTGCGTTCAGCCATTAGGCCATATTTATGGCCGGGCTATATTGCGGTCCCTGGCAAGAGCCAGGGTGGGGCTTCGAAATAACGAAAAATTGCATCCTACAGGCGGATGACTGTTTTGTTTACAAAATGTTTAGCAATGAACTCTCAGACATGGAGAGTTATGACCTGTGCCCTATGTGCCACCCTAGGCTTAAGAGGAAAGACTAGCTAACTAGGTGTTAGTATAATGGACCCTGCTCTCCTGGCTGTGTGGGAACTGGATGCATGGTAATGCACTCTTCCTTTACTTCTAGAAATGTGAGTGCACTGTCTTCCTTTTCTTCTAGAAATGTGAGTGCACTGTCTTCCTTTACTTCTAGAAATGTGAGTGCACTGTCTTCCTTTACTTCTAGAAATGTGAGTGCACTGTCTTCCTTTACTTCTAGAAATGTGAGTGCACTGTCTTCCTTTCCATCTAGAAGTGTGAGTGCATTATCCCCCCCCCCCTTACCCCTTACTTCTAGAAATGTGAGTGCATTATCTCCCTTTACTTCTAGGACCTGTGAGCATTATCTCATTTTGTATTCACTTACTGCTAGCAGTACAAAGCCAAAAGCCACTTCAGTTCAACAAGTTTAAATCTCTGTTGAATGAGAAGGGTCATCTGACCCAAGCACTGTTCTCTAATGAACCCTAGGCCACTTCAGTGTGAAGGGAAATGAAAAAGCAGACTGTCTGGCGAAAATTAGGAGCAATACATAACAGCCAGATACATAATGCACTTATAAGAAAAATTAAACCCAGATCAAGGAAGCCATTAGATACGTCCCACGAGAGAGTGCAGCCTTGGTCCCACCACTGCATGCAGCCTATTTACCACCCCCTGAAATATTAGACTATCCTGTGACCTGTGGATTTCCCCTGTTTGGGGTGGGATATTAAGAAAGCACCACCTATTGAAACATTTTCCATTCAGGACACAATCCTGAAGACCCAATCAGCCTCCTCGCACGAAAGCAGCAGAAGATTGTATTGAGACGGTGAACTTGACAAAAACAGAAGCACCAGCCATATGAACAAAGAATTCAAGATTGGGCACTCGGAACTTTGCCTGTGTGGACAAGCACCCCAGAATACTGAACATTTACTGGAGGCATGCTCTCCACATGCAGTAGGGAGGTCCCAAGTTTGCATTGTTAGTATTCTAATGGAAGCCAAGCTGTATGGATCACTGGAGGAAACACATTGCACCGCAGCTTTCACAGCTGTCTCTCCCCTACTTGTCCAAACACCAATTGCAGGGAGAACAGAAAAGAAGAAGTTTTCAGGCATTGCTGCTGTATATGGTACCATACTCAGTTAACTGCTGTAACAGACTTGTTCTTCTTTCAACAAAATATTTCAACCATGCACTTAGGGTTCTCTGATTCGATGCCCCACACCGTACCCAAAGGAGATGAGAGATAAAGTCCGACATGCTCACAATTTGGCCTTGAGACAGAAGATTAATGTAGGTGAAGGTGACACTGAGGTCACTGGCCTTTCTGGTTCTATGCAGCGAAGAAATCTGGCAGATGGAAACTTTGAGCAGGTGGGTCATATATGTCAGATAACAGAAACATGAGTCCCAGTGGGCTATAGATGTCATAGAATAGAAGCATATATTCCAGTGGGTTATAAATGTCACATTTAGAAAAAAATGTGTCCCAGTGGGTTATAGATGTCAGATAATAGAAACATGTGTCCCAGTGTGTAATAGATGTCAGATAATAGAAACATGTGTCCCAGTGTGTTATAGATATCAGATAATAGAAAAAGTGGGTTATAGATGTCAGATAATAGAAACATGTGTCCCAGTGTGTAATAGATGTCAGATAATAGAAACATGTGTCCAAGTGGGTTATAGATGTCAGATAATAGAAACAGTGGGTTATAGATGTCAGATAATAGAAAAAGTGGGTTATAGATGTCAGATAATAGAAACATGTGTCCCAGTGTGTAATAGATGTCAGATAATAGAAACATGTGTCCCAGTGTGTTATAGATATCAGATAATAGAAAAAGTGGGTTATAGATG